ACTAAGTTTAGTAGGCCGGGGGGGGGGGGGAGTAGGACATTTTACAGACAGACTTGCCCGTTCTTCCGAAAATAGCCCTTCGATAACTAAAGCAATATCTAAGGCTATTCCGGTAAGAATGACTTAAAAAAAACAACTGAAGCTGGGTCGGCTTATTTTTGACCAAGGTCCTAAACTACATTTTACTTGATTATCAAAATGAGGCTGAACCTTATGTGGGTTGCCTACGTATCCCACATCCGGTGAGAATCAGACATGCATAGTTCGGGAAATCATGACACAATTTTAAAAAATGATGTTTGACTCACTTTTTTTTTTTGAAATTCACTTTCCTCTTCTTCTTTTTTTTTTTTCAAAAATTTTGGCAGAGTTTCAAGACATTTTCAAATACCGGATTTTCTTTAGAACCGGGTAGATTCTCTATCTCATATCAATCTTGGTTTTTCTCTTTATTTCCTTTTCCTAGCCGGTCAACATGCAAGCCGAAACAAATAAATATTCACATAACAAGTAGGATGCATCAGGATGGTCTTTTATTTCGGGTACACCTGTCCTAGACGGACCCAACCCCTATGTTGAGTCCCCAAGGTCAAATGCACTTGATGCAAATAATCGTTCCTACTAGGGATCCGACATGAGGTTGCATTATTCTAGGTTTAAAACCTGGGGTTTGTGTTCTAGACTTGGATTACCCGAGCGGACAACTGGGGTCGAGGAAGGGGCAACGTACCGGGAGCACGAAAGTCTGCCCGGCCTTGTTGCTTTGCCTAGTCCCATCTTATTTGGGTATAACTCTAACAGAAAAGTGGGCCACGCGAACGTGAGCGCCGTTTTTTAGAAGACTCAGAAGGGAGGCGTAAGAAGGCATTTAAATACAATTCAAGTAATATCAACAATAAATAAAGTCAAGTAACAATCACGTTAACAAGCTTGAATTCTTGAACCCTGAACCAAAAGTTCTAGGTTCTTATTCCCAGCAGAGTCGCCAGAGCTGTCACACCTCCTTTTTTACACCACTTGCCGAGGGCGGTATATAAGGGAGTTTTTCCAATTAAAGTGATATTGTTCGAGATGAGATTATTTAGTTTATCAGAGTCGCCACTTGGAATAAATTATGGTGTCCCAAGTCACCGGTTTATTTTAAATCCCAAATCGAGGAAGTTTTATTTTTAAAGAGTCTGCGAACCAGAAATTCTAGGTAAGGAATTCTGTTAACCCGGGAGAAGGTGTTAGGCATTTTCGGGTTCCGTGGTTCTAGCACGGTCGCTTAGTGATTATTACTTGGCTTAAATTATTTAACTACTCATTTTTAGGACCTATGTGCATTTATCTTTTTACCTCTTTTAAATCACTTGAATTATTCGTAATTATAGAATTGAGTTACGCGTACGTATACTCTTTTCTTTTGGCG